CTGTCAATTAGCAATTATGATTCTATTTAAAACTAATGTCATTTGCAGTGTTCGCAAAGCCAGTACCCATTAAGTGCTATCTTTCATGGCGCACCACAGAAAGYTGCACAAAAAGCCAGAAAGGCATCCAAACAAGCACTCATTTTCCTCAGTGGATGTTTGAATGATCTCCCCGAAATACTTTGAGAGACTGTCATTCAGAAATGGCAGAAAGCTCTTTACTGCTTACCAGCTATTCTGGGCAAGACACAGTGTGCAGTTATAATCTGAAGCCAGTTTTGCTGAGCTGCCTCAGCCTTTCCAATTACCAGTTGTTGATCACTGTCTAAAAGACAACCCTCACAGTTATCCTGCAGCTGTTTAGCAGAGTCACAACAGTTGCTGGCTAGGTTTCACATATTCAGTAAAATACTTTATCACCCATGATAATACAGGCAAGTACAGTCTCCCAGAATACAATAACTGGCACTGTTAATTCCATTCAGGCCAGTTGTGCTTACTGATCCCTCCTCCTTAGAGGAAACAGCTGAATGTCTCTGCAAATGCTCATTTCCAGGCCAGTGGAATACAACAGCTGATTTACTGATATTGTAGTCCTTAATAATTTACTGATAACAACAAAGTGCTATAAATTTCCAGAATATTCACATACTGAATGGATGAGCAGCTTTTTACTAATATCCAGCAGCTCTGAAACAACCCCTGCACAAAGCTCCAAAAATATGCCTTTGGTTATCTTGAGGCTTTGCAAAGCTATGTAGTCCTCTTTGACAAACCAGWACTTGCTTTTCAGAAATAGCACTGCTATAGAAATAGCACTGCTCATCAGAAACATGATGCTAGTGCAAGAAAAGTTCCTTCGGAAGCAGCTTCCTCCTCATTAATTTTTCTCCTTGTTTACACCTGCCTGTATTTGTATTTCATCAGCTTTCATCTTCCTCTGCATCCCAAATGTGGTTTTCCACAGTTAGGTTGAAACCCACAACATGATTTTTCAATTCTATTTGATCAAGAATTAGCATACCAAGGAGTCTTACAAGAAAGCTRGACTACATATACTATGTAAGATTTCCCACAGCCCCATACACATCCCTCATTCATTTTTTTCTGATTCTAGAAGACGCGTTTCTTTTTGTGCTTCTAAAAGCCATTTGACTAGTTCTAGCACTAGCGTGCATAAATTAAAAATACAGAGCAGTTTTCCAATGAATTTTAATTCCAGTTATAAAAAAGAATAGAAATACTATGAAGTATTCTATTAATATTAAGATTTCACTATGCAGCCCCGTCTGTCACCCACTGCTGCCTCTTGCTCTGATGCAGYGATCAGTAGCATTTTTAGCAAATGGTGCTCATATGTTTTCTGTCCTTGATTSAGATAGAAACATTTGTCTTGACCATTTGCTGCCAGCAATTTCAAACCAAAGAAACATATCTTAGCACAGTGCAAGTTTGATGTGCAAAGATAATTTTGTGGTCTGAATAAGTCATTTGAGCTTTTGTGACCACAGTTCTTCCTTTGCCATTTATTTGAGAATGGTCTAGTATCTTGGAATCACTTATAATGCGGCTTAGTTTACAACAATCTCAGCTCTTCCTAAGTGACAAATTTAGTTTCCTTTTTGCAAAATGTTCCAAATTTCCATGCACATAAGTTGTGAAACAAATAACAATAGGGGATAACTTACATTTAAGAACTTTTTTTCAAATTGTGCAGTACATTTTAGACAAACTGGAAAAAACAGCAATAAGAAGAAATACTTTCAATGTTATCAGTATTCTTCATTTGAAAACCCCTCAGTCTTTTCTGTTTTGGATTACAATTTTGCACTACAARGCATATACAACTACAGGGCATGACAACAACATTTTAATTATAACATTTCAGTGGTGATGCTTTATATTACAWTGGAAAAATGCAAGCTCTTTTTGTTCTGAAACAGACATATCTGAATCTTAGAATATAACAGATTAAACCATACTTATGTTAGTACTTCACTAGTTTCAGATTTTGGAAAGAGTACTAGTAGAACCTTTTTTTTAATGTGTAACTGGGAGGTATCATTAAATGGAAATGGCACACAAGCCAATAAAGAAAGAAACCTCCTACACAGACGTAGGATGCTTATCTAGCAGTGTGGTTCTAAAATAGAAGTTCTTAATTTCCTCAAGTGTTCTGCAGTAAAAAAATCAAAGATGTGATCCTGACATGATACTGCACAGCAACAAGACAGTTTTCCTCTACAATATGCTCAGGTAATTTATAAACTTTAAATAAGTAGTTGTATCAAAATGGATTTAAGAAACTGCCACTAACAAAATAAAGACAACAGGAAGACCAGTCTCTGCAGCAAGCATTTCAGTATTTTGTTTCTTCTCTTAAGGATGAAAAAAATACACAGAAAGATATGGAACCAAAATAATGAGTWAAAGTTTATGATGATCAAACAGTAATAATCACTATCAGGTTAAACTGATAACATATTGTGCTCACTTTTTAYGGTATTAGCAGGCTTTATAAAATACCAAATGGCTAAAGATCAGGACCGACGTCTATGGAAAATCCTTTTGAGCCTGTGTTTTTCTTACAGAAATCACWTATTGAGGTGTATTATTGTCATATTATACTTTTCTTTATTAATGAAAGAAGTTTTTTACCTWACAATGAATGTGATTTTTTAAGATGTCCTATATATTGTCTTCCATGTGAATGTATATAAAATCAATAGTTTTGGTATATATGTAGCAAAGAATGTTTATAGAGCAAAGCTTCCTTACCATCACAAAAACTGTTARCAGAGCAAATCCAGATCCTGTCTATGCCTTTAGGTCTGTAAGAACCCAGACGAAGGCGTTGAAATGATGACAAAGATGGATTAAGATATTCCCAAGCATGAAACATCAGGAAAACAAGTTACCATTAAAAGYAGCAATTGCTTCTTATCTTTATACTTACCCTTACAGATGAAACCCACTTTGTGATTAGGCAGCAAGTAGCATCAGAAGGTGTTAGTAAGAAGCAATTGCTTCTTATCTTTATACTTACCCTTACAGATGAAACCCACTTTGTGATTAGGCAGCAAGTAGCATCAGAAGGTGTTAGTCTCATATGACAGTTTAGTGTCACCTGCAAAACTTTCACACAAATATCCCTGCCTCAAGATAATGCTCAGTTCATAAGGGATACATAGTGGGGTTTGATTTTTTTTACAGAAGAGGACCTGCATGCGTAAAAACTGCAAAAGCAGAGTCAACTCAGAAGTGGATGGTATATCTTGAGTTGGATGATAACTTGCTTTTCCCCAGGTATCTGAAGATGATTTCGACCCTCAAGACTTGCTTTCAGTGCATTACACTTGCAATAAGTGCACCTGTCATGAGACCAGCTGATACAAGTTGAGGGGAAAACAACGTATGGAAGTATCAATCCCCCTATTGAGATACTTCATTTTTTCCCCTCTAGAGCATTCTGGTTCCAATGATCTTATTTCAACTAATGTAAAATGTGAAGTTGTGTATATTATGATGGCACAAATATAAATCATTCACTTAAACCCATATTACAGTCCTTTGTATCAAGTTACAATAGAAAGGCTTTGTCTGCTTTTATGTGAGAGGCAGAGTACAAAGTCATCAGGATCATTAGTCTGCAAGAGTTTTTCCAGGCCTTAGTGGTCTCTTCAAGCTCCTCAGTAATTGCCACCAGCTCAGTGGCCACTTYACAGACCTGTTTGTCCTTACAGCACAATGAGTCACTACAACATAGGGCAAGTACACAGAGTAACCATGCCAGGCAGCACAAGGACCTGAGCCTCATCCCAGGAAAGCTCTTGCTACAGCGTATTTTTCAAGGAAAGAAAAATCTTCATCTATAATCAAGCACAGAAACAGCATGTATATAGTAAATGCTTTATATTGCACACAACAGCCACTTTACCAGAATTTTAGGAATGGCTATTAAACAGCCCTATGCCACAGCAATGAACAAAATCTCATCCACTRGAACATGTGAGGAGCAAACTTCTCCCAGTGTTAGCCAAAGAAACTGTACTATGTCATGAACTCTGAACACCTGCTCCCAGTGCCTCAGTTTAATAAGGCCAAGTGCCAGATCCTGCACTTGGGGTCACAGCAACGCCGTGCAGTACTACAGGCCTGGGGAAGAGCGGGTGGAAAGCTGCCTGCAGGAAAAGGACCTGGAGGTGTTGGTTGACAGTGGAATGAACATCAGCCAATGTGTGGCTGGGTGGTCTGGGAAGCCGAAGGCATCCTGGCCTGGGTCAGCAATAGTGTGGCCAGCATGACCAGGGCAGGAATTGTCCCCCTGTACTTGGCACTGGTGAGGCCACACCTCGAGTGCTGTGCCCAGTTTTGGGCACTTCACGACAAAAAAGACAGCGAGGTGCTGGAGCAGATGCAGAGAAGAGCAATGGAGATAGTGAAGGGTCTGGAGCACAAGTGTGAAGAGTAGCTGAGGGAGTTGGGSGTTCTGTGCAAGGGAAGGCCTGCGGGGGACGGCCTTATTTCTGTCTACAATTACCTGGAAGGAAGCTGCAGCCAGGTAGGGGTCAGTCTCTTCTCCCAGGCAGCTAGCAACATAAGAAGAGGAAATGGCCTCAGGCTGTGCCAGATGGGATTCAGGTTGGACATTATGAATAATTTCTTCTTAATTTCTTCAGGGTTATTAAGCATTAGAATGGGCTSCCCGGGAARTGGTGGGGTTGCCATTCCCTGGAGGTGTTCAAGAAACCGTATGTGCACTTAGTGCCTAGACAAKGTGGTGTTCACTGAAAAGGTTGAGCTCGATGCTCTTGGAGGCCTTTTTCTGATGATTTTGTGTGATTATGCGATTCAGGGGCCGTGCCGCCAGCGCCTGGCCCTCACCCCACCASAGCCCTTCGCGCCACCCGGGCGGGCTCGGGCCATCGCCGCTTTAAGGGCGGCTCCTGCCAATGGTTCCGTGTTTAAGACCCGCGCGCGTGCGCACGGGCAGGGGGCGGGGCCGCGCGGTCTCTGGGGCGCTCGGGGCCGGCTCAAGGTGAGCGGGAGCCTCGGGGGTCTGAGGGGASGCAGCGGTGTGGAGGGGAGGGGAACGGGGTTCGGCCTGCTGGAGGGCTTGGGAGAGTCTTCCCAGGAGTTGAATTCTCAGGGATTAGCGCCTCCTCGCTGCAGGGCGAGGGGAGCACAGGTGCTTAAGCAGCTGTTGGGATTGCCCGATCCCTGGAAAGGGGGCTTGACTGAGCTCCCTGATCCAAGCGCGTCCCGGGGCKGTGGAGACATCCCGGGGGAGAGGAGTGGAGCGGAGCCCACCGCAGCCCCGACCAGCCTGTAGGACTGAACCCCCTTCGGTGCCTCTGCCGATCTCGGGTTCTCTCTCCTGGGCTGTTCTGTCTGCGGCTTCCGACACWGAGAACGACCCGTCTGCAGGCAGTYTCCAGAGAATCTTCTACCTTTGGCAGCACTGGTTTCTAACTCGGGCATACCTGGGAAAGTGGATAGTCAGTAAGCTCTGTCAGTTTGCTCTCACATGGGAGCCTGCAGACTGCATCATGGGCTTCTCAAAAACCCATCRCCTGACCTTCCTGCCCTCTTGGGAGCAATCTGCACTCCTTTCCAGAATGTGAAATTCTGCTAAGAAGAAAGACGCCTTATGTATATGTACCATATACATGCATGATATTTTAAACAATTTGCAGCAACTCCAATATAATGCAACTATTTATTAAAAAAAAAGTCCMAGATGTGGTACCTGAAAGCTTTTAGAGATATTTTTTGGCACCTCAGTCTGAAAAATAGAAGTTTATACAGTCCTATTGTATGTAGATATAAATGTGTATAGTTACTGGAACTTTTGCGGTGTGTGTCACTGAAATCTGATTAAAAGCTGAAAGATACTAGGCTTCTTAGCATATAAAAAAAAGGCTGGATCAAGATCCTACTACTTTTTCATCTGCTTCTTTCTTCGAGGAAATACGAGCCTCCCCTCAACCCTTTTAGCATGTCAGAAAATCTACATGAAGAAAACACTATGGGAGGATCTTCTCATCAGAGAATTCAGTGATGAGACATGGAATATTAGGAAATCTGAAATTATTGGTTCAGTTCATGAAAGTACTTAGCTTTTATGGTATATCGTGACTTCATTCATGACAGTCATGATTGATTCATATTGATTCTGGCTTGCAATTAATCCACATYCATCAAATGTAGAGCTCCTTAGTGGAGCTGGTGGAAATTTTGGTACTTAATTCATTACATTTGCTCTTCCATTTCCATTTACCTCACCTTGCCAGTTACAGGTGTCTCTTTCTTTTCACCAGTCATTCCTATCTGAGCTTGCTTGGTTGTCTTATTCATCGCTCCCAGTTTCTTCAGTTCTCTTCCCCATTTTGTTTTTCTCTTCCCTGCTTTAATGGCCATGAGGGTACTATTGTTGCCATGTTTCTCGGTTTTTACTGAGATTCCTAKTCCCAGTTCTTCCCATCTTTCCTTCCGGCTGCTCATTCAGAACCGTTCTTGAAACTTCTTTCCTTGACTTTCCTCTGAAGATCCTTGCTCCAGCCATTTTGACATCACAGTTTCAGAAGAATTSCAGATCTTGTTCTCTGTTTAGATTGCCTGCCTTCTTCCTCCATGCTGCCAGGGCCTGATAGAGTTCTACCTGCTCTTCCTTTTGTTTTTTAACTAGACTGCATCTGGCATGTTCTTTAATGACTTGGAAGCAGGTGACTCGTTTTGGCAAGAGTATATGCAACTGAAAACTGTGCCTTACAGGCAGTTTCAGAAACAAGGAGTTCTGGGAACCAAGCCCAGGGCAGACAAACGGGAGCATTTTAGCACTGAGGAATTTATTTAACATTTTAAAAAAGGAGTTGTCACGTGTCTGAAAAAATGGGGAAAGAAAAGCAAGGGGAAAAAGATAAAACTGAACTAAAAGGTACTTGAGACTCCCCTGAAGATGCTGCTTAATGCTCCTTATGTACTCATAGGATAGGTCAGGTGATTGGCATAGAACAATGATGTTAAAACTTGGAATTTTTACTCTATTTTATTTAAAGAGTAAAACCAACTCAGACTATTTTTGTTTTGGAAAGCTAAAAAATAATAATGTTGTTTTTTGCTCTTTTAAAAAAATAGTCAAAAACATCCTGCACACTGGCACTATGCATTTGTTGAAATGGATTTTATATGTGATACGAATCCGCTTTACTTCACTTTTTAAAAAATCTGTTTCTTTTTCCAAAGGCTTTCCTCAGCTTTCCTCAGTGCTAAAAGATGGTTTCTCTCTTTATTTTCTTTAGTCACTTCTGTATTGTTTGTAATGTGAGGAAAGTTTGATTCTTACTGTGTTCTGGTGTTACTGTGACCATTTGCTYGTGTAATGGTGTTGCTGGCTTCCACTGTAGGTGCATTCCTATTTAGAAATAAATGTCCATCTGCAGTGTTGTATTTGCTGTGGTAGCTGTCATAGAATGAGTGACAGTTCAGTTGCCAGTTTCACTTTTTGTCCACCCACTCACAGTATTTGGAAGATCTTCAAATTAAATCAGTACACAGGCTCCTCAAACAAAAACTGTGAAAACAAACTGGGAAATAAACAATGGTTTTGTTCCCTCAAAATGGCAGGCATTCAAATAAGTAGTCTAAACTTACACTGGACAATTTTTATACTCACATCTTCCTATGCTGCTCTRTATTGCTTTATTTTGCTTTTAGTACGTTAATATCTTCGATTTTTTATATAACTGGGGTTATTTTTTCCTCTGTACAAATCATAGAAAGTAGATRTTTCAGGAGTCTGTAGGGCATAAGCTGTACAGCAACTCTGCCTGCTGTGCATGGTTTATAAACAGAGGATCAGACCCTTAGCCAGGGATATGGACAGTATATATCAAGGAGTGATTTGCCCAGAGTTCAAGTGAGCTGTSTTACGCTGTTGGTTTATATTCACTGCATTCTAACTCATTATTTCTGCACAGAACAGTTAGATTAATGGTTATAAACTTCAGCCGAGTTGTGAATGTGTGCAAATCATTTACTAGAGTAGGCTTGTTCTTTTAAACTGCACTGGACACATCTGACGGTTTATAAAATGCTCATTGTATGAGCAGAAATTCTCAGATGCTAAGACAATTGCTGTGGGGATAAAAACTGTACTACTGTGGGGATAAAAACTGTACTACTTGAATGTAATTTTGTTGGGCAGATGTTACTAGGAAGAATTTGGAGTTTTGTTCTGAAAAATATTCTGTAAAACAAATACAGTCATATGCCCATGATCACACAGGATGTCTGTAAYCGAGTACAGTGCTGAATAAGTGTTTGATAAGTGTTGATGATATACTCTTTCTAGGCTCATTTTTTAGATTTGCTCCAATTTGCTGTTCTGGTCAGCAAAATAAACATGAAAAAGATATCAGCTATCATGTTGCGTTCCTTAATGTCCTTTGTTCATATGGAGGTTGATTATTTATGGCTGTCAGCCCAGAACAGTGGTAACATTTTTATTTTGTATTAGATCTGAAAGCATGTAAGATGCTTTTCTCCTGTTAAATCAGGTTAATTTCCTCTTAATAGCTTTGGATCTCACAGGTGCAAAATCACAAATTTACAATTCTCTTTTAAACTGTTGAAATTCAAGGAGAAACTTTTCTGTAGAATAGATTAAGTGATGATATAATTCTTTATCATCTCTGGGCTCTGCTAATGGAAAGAATAYTTTTTTTTACAAAACATCTTGTACAACAATATGTTTTAATAATGTATCTGCAGACTGCTGTTCTGGTGTGCCTGCCTAGCTTTTRTTGAGTGGCACCTGACTTTGTATGCAAAGCTGCCTCTGTGTCTTTTAGGTGGAAACAGGGTGTTCTCAGTCAGCACAGAAAGCAAATCAAACACGTCTCCCACTGCCTCGCAGATGATCTTACAAAGAGTGTGGTAAATTATAATTTTCCATCTTTCCAGTAGGTGATACTGTGACATTGTATAAAATCAGGGCTTTAATAAGATAAACAGGGAAACTCCTTATTCACACATTTGTTTATTTTATGTGTAAGGTTGGTTTATGTGATTCTTTATTATCATCCTTGGGCATGGATGCTGAAGTTGTTGAGGTTTGTGTTTCATCCCCAGTTTCCAAATTACTAAGTACTTTGCCCCATATTCTTTTTTCAAGAAAATTTATGTTTTAAGCCTTCCAACAACATTTTCTTTTGTAGAAATCCAGTGTGAAATTGCTGCAAAAGCAGAGATGATTATACAAAGAGTAGTCCTGCATTCTCGGCCTGGTATGTATTTCTCTCCACTAAAGAAGCAATGTGTTTGTTCTGATCGCCTAATGCACCAAAAYGGTGAGGGTAAAAACAGAAGATAACTTGAGATATTGACATTTATATATCTTAATATTGCATGCAGCAATAAATTTTGGTTTAAATGCATTTATTCATATATCAATTCTTTAAATTTATTTCCATTAATATAAATAATTTTGTTTCTAATAAATTTGTCTGCATTTATTAATAGATCTAAATTTGATTAATATAAATAAATTTCTATTAAATATTTAACATATATTCAAAGTGCATTTGCTTAGTCTGTAATTGCAGATTTAAACTGTTGGGTGAAAAAAAGGGTTAATGCATAATATATGAGATAACTAAGTGTAGGGCCTGAAAGTGAAGAAAGATTAGYGAACGTGACTTTTTAGTTCTCACATTTATTCTTTTTGCATTTTAAAAGATGACTAAAATATTTTGTTGCTATTCATTTTTGTTTCCTTGTAGTAGATACTGAATCTTTTGTTCCTCTCATGTTTCAAAGGGTTTGTTTGTAYAGTAGAAATTTACAGTTTTGAGGTTTTGTTTAGTTTCTTGCTTACACATGTACCTTGTTATGGATATCAGCACAGTATTTTGAATAGTGAGTTCATGAAYCGTCTGGTGTAGAAGACATTAAGTTTTGGAGAGAGTATTTTATGTTACTTAATGCTAATATAGTTTTAAGAGTTAAGAACTACAGTGTGACCTGCAAATAAGTCCTTCAAATGTTACAGCAGGAGCCTGCTGTCRTTGTGCAGTCACTCTGAGTTAAAATAGACAAGGCTGACTGGCTGTCTCAGTGCCAATGGTTCCAGTTGTCAGTCTCAGTGATTTGCTGCACGTGGTACTAACCTTAGGMTGAAGCCTCCAGTTCTGGGGTTCTTGCTGCAGTTTTATGGGTGTTTCTGGGAAGCCTTAATGTAAGGAAGTCTCTGCAAAGGGATGCTCTTGCAATGTATATGTGTGCAGTGGCTGTGATCTGCATTCCCTCAGTCTCACTTGAGTGGGAAGAGTAAAAAAGGTGAGAGTAGTTGTTTGGTAGTTTTATACCTGAGTAAATATGTAACCTAATTTATTCTGAAAAGGACTACCTTAAAAAAAGGCCTTCCCATACTGATTAAGGGAAGGTCGATATTGATTCATTTATTTGTTTAATTTTAAAATAACTGTAGGTAAGAATGGAGTGCCAGTGGCTGAAAACTTCCGACTGGAGCAAAGTACAATAGCAGATACAATCCAAGCGGGACAAGTGCGTGTTAAAACTCTCTATCTCTCAGTGGACCCCTACATGGTAGGTGATGGACTTAGAGCTAAGCTAGAATTTGTTTTTTAAAGTACCTTCAACTCTGTAGCTGTCGTGATGTTTCACACTAGGGTTACTAATTACAGAACAAATATTTCTCTGGTATAATTTAGTAATTGTGTCCATTCTGATGGAGTTATATTGGGAAGRAATTTGGAATTAATATGTTGGGATATACATAAGAATATGATAGGACCAGGAAGAGGCTGTGAGCCCTGATATGCTGTTATGGATTTCTGAACTTGGCCTTTTTTATATACTTTTTTTTCCCAATCATTCAAAATTACAGAAATCATGTAGTTGGGAGAGTTGTGGGTTGAAATGGAAGTGAAGGTAGAAGAACCAGACAGACACAGTAAGTTTGCTATAACGAGAATTCCAATCATTTATTCCCTCCATAGATGGCAATAGTAGAAAAGAAACAGTCTAAATTTCAGGAAAATAATTTATCTTCGGAATTAAGGAAAAGTTTAAGAATCTTGAAATATTAACTGTGGCTGTAGAGGGAGCTGCAAAGAAAATATGTCAGATTTCAAGATGTTTCACTAACATCTGTCAGGGATGGTGTGCATTTTTTTGACTGCTCCTCTGTGCACAGGCATGGTCTAAATGACTTGTGGATGGTTTTTTTTTCAATCCTGCATTTCTAGGATTCCTTCAGTTAAGGAATGCATTTGTAGGATTCTCATCAGGCCTGAGCTGTCATCCTCAGCTGCAGGGCTGCTTTGAGCCAACCTCTGTAGAATGTGTTGGTTTTGCTAACATTGCTGGAGGAGTTGTCCATCCTCCTTTTGTACTGAGCAAACAAGGGGAAAGAGTAATCTAAGAAAAGATTATAAATATTTGAGGCTTGTTGAGAGATTTTTGAGTAGACCTTTGTATCTGGAGTTCTAAACACTTCTCATTCCCCACTCAATATGAACTGATRAACAAGTTGTATTCCACCAGAGCCTTTTATTAAAGCCTTGTCTTTCAGCGCTGCCGAATGAACGAGGACACGGGCTCTGATTACCTGCAGCCCTGGCGGCTGTCTGAGGTTGCTGACGGTGGAGGTGTTGGGGTTGTGGAGGAGAGCAAGCACGACAACTTTGCTAAAGGAGACTTTGTAACTTCCTTCACTTGGCCCTGGCAGACAGTAGCAATTCTCGATGGAAGCTTGCTACAAAAGGTAATACAAAGGCAAAGCCCAAGTTGTGACTATTTTTTTTTCCCTAAACCTTTTTTTTTTTCYTCCTAAATAGCTATTAATGACACTATCTTTTAGTCCTTTATGCTAGCATTGGGATAAATTTCCAGCAATGGTGAACTATCTCCCAACTGCTTTTTAACACTTCCATAAGTTAACTTTTTATGGGTTACTTTGAAAACTTTTTCTAAAACCACAGAGACATAACATTTTTGTACAAACTTCTTATTAGCTAGAGATAGCCTATCCCTATCAGTTGTACCTTGCCTGGTAAATATCCTGAGTTAGTCTTCTACCTTCAGGCAATSAAAGACAAAAACCTCACCTTAAAAAACAAATTACCTCCACTACACATTTCTTTTCCATAGCTTGTTCCACAGCTTGTAAATGGACGCCTTTCCTACTTTCTGGGTGCAGCTGGCATCACAGGGCTGACRGCCCTCTTGGGAATAAGGGAGAAAGGACACGTGGCCGCGGGTGCAAATCAGACCATGGTGGTGAGCGGAGCAGCTGGTGCCTGTGGCTCTTTGGCTGGCCAGGTAGGTGTAGGCTTAGAGCATACAAACATAACTCTCTTACCAAGTTTTGTCTTCTGAAACATGCTGGCTGTTCAAATCATTGTAAACATGAGCAGGTATAACCCCAAGGGAAGGGTTAGTTTCACAGATTTGACACATACTCTCACTGAGAAAGACTTTACATATGGAACTTAAGTTTCATGAAATAGGGATAGGAGAAAGCAGATGGCGGTGATTTACTTGCTGCTAGCACAAGTAAAGTAGATAGTTTAAATACATGTATTTATTATAAATTGATGTAGTAGCATGCCATTCCAACATTGTCTTTGTATTGGCTGGAGATTTTTTTTTGCCTTTTGTTTGTTTATTTGGTTGGGTTTTTTAACTCTGTGCCTGCAGATTGGCCGTCTGGAGGGCTGCTCTAGAGTGGTGGGGATTGCTGGCACAGACGAAAAGTGCTCCATTTTGGTTCAAGAAATGGGATTTGATGCTGCTATCAATTACAAGAAGGGGGATGTTGCAAAACAGCTACGTGAACTCTGCCCAGGTGGTGTGGATGTTTACTTTGACAATGTTGGTGGAGACATCAGTGATACGGTTATAAGTCAGGTGATTATTCTGGCTGTCASGTTTATTCTGGTCATTCTTCAATCTCTGCATGCCCAGCTCTCCATACTAGAGTCCAGCCTCTAATAGAGCAGAGCAGGCTTTCCACTTCAGTGATCGACTTCAGGTGCTGATCCTGATCTTGAGGAGCAATCAGATATATGACATCAGTGCCTGCATTTGGACAGCCTGGCAGTATGGTAATAGATATGCAATTTCTGTTTCTCATCTCTTGCATCTTTGGCCAGGAAATACTCTCTAAAAGCCTTGTCTGTCAGTGCAGTAATCTTGTGTTTTGTCAGCTTTGGTTTTCTGGCTTCAGGAAAGACCGGCTCTGCTGGGTCTCCTAAAAACTCTTCATTGCTAACAAACAACCAGTCTGTCCCTGGATGGAGAGGCTTTGGTGGCAATGCCATCTTTGAGAGCTCTAAATCACACCTCTATTCTATTCAACAGCTACAATTTCCTATATTCCTTCTATTTAATGCCTTTTAAAATTACACTAGGCTGCCTAGCAGTTATTTTTCCACTATTGCCTTGCATTTACCTTTTTGAATGYTGTCATAGATTGAATGGGACCGCATGCAATTCTCCCACTCTTTCATGGGAAATGTTGCTAGTGAAAATTTTGCAATTTTATCTATTGCATATTTGAAAAATTTRGTTTCTGAGACTGAGGAATATAATTTTTCTTACTTTGTGCTCTCCCGAACAGATGAATCAGAACAGCCATATCATCCTGTGTGGACAGATTTCTCAGTATAACAAAGATGTGCCTTATCCTCCTCCACTGCCTCCTGACACAGAAAAAATACAGAAAGAAAGGAACATCACAAGGTACTTTTCTCCTCCAGAACCTGTGTCATGGTTCCAGGTAGATTGTGCTCACGGTGTTGTGACTCTGATGCTTGGATGACAGTCTGTAATCCACAGTAGCTACTTGTAATTGGAACAGAATGTTGCCATGCCTAAAAAAGGAAATTGTAATCACATGTCAGTAAATCCTTTCTCTTACATTTGTGTTTATCAGCATAAAAAATGGGAAAGGTTGTTGTTATATAGGATTGTAGATGACAATTGTTGCCCTTTGTGGTTGCTTGATTTAATCCTGGAATCTCTGACAATTCTTTGACAAGGGAAGTATTGCTGTAGTTCCGTTCTCAGATGTCTGGCAGAGTGCCTTCTCTCAAAATATCATAGTTCAGGCAGAGAGAAAATCAGATCTTTTTAATGTAAGGATGCAGCTGATACAGTGATTTTATGGAAATTATATTTTTAGTATTTGGGGGCTTATTAGATAATAATGTAGGTGTGATAGATATATGTGGGTAAAACATTTTTATTATGTTCTGACTCTGGGAATTGCTGAATCTCCTCTTAGGATTCAGATGGAGCTAAGGCAGAGATTAGGAGGAGGGTCTTAGGAGAGTTTTCAGTCATTGCATKGCAGGACATTGGGGAGACTTCATTTCTGTGCAAATGAATTGATGTCTTCTAATTAAAATATTTCCTGTTACTGTTGTCTGCACTTTTAAAAATGGATAAAAATATTAAAATAYACCATACATAGTAGTATGTAGTGGAGAATTTAGTCAGTATGTTCCTACAAGTAGTTATCATTGTTTATATAATTTCAGGTTCTCAATTGCTATAGAAAGCTGCAACAYTGGGATTTGCACAGTTGTGGGGAGCCTGAAAGTTAAGTTATTTTCACAATCTAGTTGCAGGTCCACTAATTATTCTCCCTACTACTTAAAAAAAAAAATTAAAAAATGGTAAGAATTTGGTCACATTTTATGGATATTTGCTTCTTCTGGTGGTACTACTTGATTTTTCTTACTCTGCTCTCTCTGACACTTGAACAGAATTACCTAAGACTGATGTTATTGTCAAGCTTCCACTGTAGGGAGTTCAACAAGGCTGTTTCCTGAAAAGATTTGTAAAGATATTCAAGTCTGTTGACCAAGGTTTCTTAAATCAAAGCTCATTCTTTTCTTTCACAGGGAAAGATTCTTAGTATTGAAYTACATGGACAAACAAGAAGCTTGTGTATTACAGCTCTGCCAGTGGATCCAAGAGGGTAAATTGAAGGTGAGAACTTAGTAACAAAGGCCATAGACTAAACCTATCTCCTACTACAAAATGACTAATTTYTTTGTCTCTGGCTCTCTTACTGTGCCTCAGGATTAAACAGACTTTAAAAAAAAATGTAAGTATAATTGAAAACTTAGTAGGTAGCAAAGTTTTAGAAGGTACCTGCTGAGGATGGTCTGACTTTAGTATGACAGACTTTTCTGATGACATGCTGCTTGTGGCTGTATTCTTTATTTCAACATAAGGTGCAAGTGCTTTTTTACTTAAAGGATCAGGCTTTCAAAAATATGTACTTTCAAGTACCTGATTAGTTAAGTGTCCTGAATRCTTTTGAGGAACTTGTCTGAAATTTTGCTGCAAGTTTTATTATCACCATTTATTACTTTGTGATGGGTGTATGCTTAAACCATGCCTTCCTTATGAGGTCTGTCTGAATCAGTTTTTGTTTCTTCAAGTGATCAGTAAATGTTCCTGGGAAGATATTGAGACATTAAATTTTGGCATAGGCAGGGATCTGATAGAAGAATTAAATCACCTGCAAATTTATCAGGAAACATCCATGCCTCTCTTGATGAAATAACCTGGTCCAAACAGAGCTCTGTCCATTGCAGTGAGAGAAGTCTTTAGATTTTGGGAGTTTCTGTGGCAGTTTCTTGGCATGTTTCTAAGAAATGTGAAAGGCTATTCTTGTTTGAGGAAAACTGAAAGGGYTTGTTTGTATTGACAGGTCAGAGAGACCGTGGTAGAAGGCTTAGCAAACATCGGTGGTAAGACCTTTACATTATTTTTGAAGAATAATAATAATCTGATTAAATACAATTATATTAGAGATTAACTCCCTCTTTTGTTTCATTTGCAATTTAGATTTTTGTATTTTATCAAATGCATTATTTTATGTTGTAATATTTCTTCATAAATTATTAAAATGTTCTGTAAGAAAATAATTGTATATTAAAAAATCATTGAGTATAAATTTAGATWTTTTTTTTGCTGGTTGTTGTTGTTTTAGTGCTGAGCAGAATTTTTTCTTAGACTGTTACTTTAGCAGCTGGTGGTAGTCATCCTGATCTTAGAGGTTTAAAGTGCTGCCCATTTCTTAGAACTTGTATAAGAAAATGCTTTTTTAAAATCCTTGAGCTTATACTTTAAAAAAACAATATCTGACAGAGGTTGTTATTGGATTTGTTAACAAAAAAATAAAATGGAAAGTACAACCAAGAAAGGGCAAAGCATATTGCTAAAAAAAAAAAAAAAGTTAATTTCTTGTAACAGAACAAAATATCCTGTAGCCTGTTCAAAATATTTGTAACAAAGGAAGTGTATAAATGAAGGGGATCTGGTGACATGAGCCATGTKGTGCAAGATTTGCTCTAAGAATGCTTCCCTTTCAAGTAAGAGGGAAGAGTCTGATTTAGTCTTTAGTCCCACAAGATTGGAAACTAGTRGAATTGAGTGATAACCAAATCTTACAGATTTCAATTTATTCTAGCCATTATTAATTGCTGCTTAGTGGTATACATATGTATTTGAAAGAAATTTGGTCAAATATAGCAGTCATATATCATACTTTCATATGGTATATTCTKTAGCATCAGCTTCTCACACTATTATACAATATTTATAAACCTTTTTTTCTGCAAAGGTTTGTGAAACCCACCGCATTTGTGGGCTTTCCAATCTTGCCTTGTCTCTCTTTGCTATTTGCATGGCATATCACAAAAGCAGCAAATGTAGTTGTTAACTTGTATAGGGTCAAACAGTTGCTTACAGATAATTTTTTTAAATTATTACACAAAGCTGCCCCTAGCAGTTTATTACAGGCTAGCTTTTTCTTTTATCCCCTTCTTAATTTGGCACATCATTACGGATAAATATGCTTAGGTCACAAATGGTATCTCTCCTTTCAGGGGAGCTGCTTAATATATGTGCTTCTATAATTTTTTAGAAGTTACTTCGCTTGTTTTGCTTGGCACTGACTTATTTCATTATTTCTCTTGAAGCTGCTTTCCAGTCCATGATGAACGGAGGCAATATCGGAAAACAGATCGTCTCAGTGTCGAAGTAAAAGTCACTGGTTCGAGGAAAATAATTGCATTCTGTCTCTAATCATGGGCAAGTTTTTACTTACACTAATTTTCATTTCTTGAATAAACCATTAAGTTCTTGTATGTACTTAAAGCTGAGATTTTGGGATGCTAATACACTAAATTGAGCTGGAAACAGGAATGCAGTCATTTATACTTGAAATGAGTAATACAATCTTTGACATGATTTTGACAGTTGCCACCTACAACACTTGCAAATGTTTAATGGGTGTGCTTTGAAAGTTAGAACATCCCAGTGTTGTCCCAAGCACAGGCTCATCATGTGGGTGGTGTGCAATGGCACTTCACACACTGAGGCAAGGACTTCCTATTTCTTTATTGTATTCTGTGCAAAGTAGGGAATTAGGGGGCAACCCTCTGAAGTCTGGCTCACTATCATCAAAACTTTACACTATTTATACATTTTAGTGAACATCAGCATTCGTTGGTTACACTTGACAAAGCTTTTTCATTTATCAGTAGTCAAACCCTTATTTGCTAGTTATGTCCCTCGTTTTTTATGCTAATTATTCCACATGTGCAGTTCTTCCCTCCATTCCAGTTTGGGATCTGTTTTGAGTAGGTGCTCAGGGGGTTGGTGGTTGTGATCTCCCCTGCCAGAATTACCTTTCCACTGGTTGCTGTTCAGTCCTGCTGACTTCACTCCAGGGACTCTCCTCCAGGCACCGCATTAATTTTAGGATTGTGTACCCTTTTCCTTAAAACAAAGGATTAGCTATGGCTACAAATTTCACAATGCAATTGCTTAATCATAACTGCTTAGCTATAGCTACTGATTAGCAACAAAAAAACTGCAAAGTTTGATTCAAATCTCGAGGGACTAGATATGARCAGGAACAATTTCCAATAAATAATTTGTATGCAGCCACATAGTTTTGGTCATTACTAATGTAGATGTGTACTATTCCCATTCTAGATTGTCTCAGTGCCCAGGAACTTCTCTAGGAATTTTTAATTTACTCATATAAGTTTTCCCTGCAAGTCCAATCTGGTTAATAATTTTAGAATATAACTATTCTTTTTTTTCCAGATAAATTGCAATAAAAATTCCATTTCTAGAGTTCAAAGTCTCTAATAAAAAAAGGTATTTTCATTTTACCATACAAAGCATATTTCTACCRATCTGTGTTGTCTATTTCTCTGTATTGTATCATTATATCTCATTTTCAGAGCACTTAAAACCTAATTCATTTACAATTCCATCAGCATGCAACCTGAGACTTCAATCAAAGATAGTTCAAGTGAAGTGTGAGCCTTTTTTACTCCTCTCAATCTTTGCATTCCACACTGAAGTGAAGTTTTCCTTTTAGAATTCCTGTCCTAAATTCTGCTGTATCTTTGTAATAATCTCCCCAATTTCACTGGTTTGACTGCTGTTTACACCTCTCCAAGGTGATAGAATATCTCAATACATGCTGCCTTTTAACAGAGGWAACTTTGCAGACCCATGACCTGTTCACTCAGTAGCTTCTCTTGGCTCTGAAGGTTTTGWCTAACAATGCTGTTTTACCATCTCAAGGGGGCACCTTCTAGAAAGGAGTCATCATTACCAAAGCTGACTAGGGGAATCCAGTCCAAATGGGACTTGTGATTAAGTATGTGTCTTCAAAAGAAAGGAACAGAAAAGGGAACAGATAATTATCCTAAATACTTTAGAATTCCACTACTACAACTAGACACTAACACATATTTATTTAGAGAATGGGATAGTTCATTACTCATTCTGGTTAACAGGCAATAGGTTTTGGTTTTACTTTGTTTGTCTTTGAGAGAAATGCTTACAGATAAATAACTCTGTTGTGAAAGTTAAGCAATGGAGGCTTGTAGGGTTTGGTAATTGTTATACATATTAGAATGAGAGACAGCAGGAAACACAATGATCTTAGGCACTGCTGGAAAGGTGTTGAAATGTTATTTTCCTTTCCAATGTAATGACTAAAAGCCTCAGTCTAACCTATTGATGTTTGAGAGATATATGTTTGTCCAAAGTCCAAATTTTATTCTTTTTGACATTTGCTGAAGAGCTACTCCAGAGTGAGCTCATCTCTGGCATCATGAGTTGACACACCATCCAGGAATAATTGTCTTCTAAGAAGTTATTTTTTACATCCGAGACAAAATATGATAAAATTAAAACATTCCCAGCATTATTATTTTTATAGGAATTGCTTAGTAATCCACACAAGTCAGGAGTCTATTAAGAGCTGTGATGTGAGGGGTGATTCAGAGTGAGATCATGCTGAGATACTGATTCCTTACCATAATAAAGGCAGCTTGATTGCAGCTTTCCTGTAGTTAGGTAAGCTATGGAGGGCAATACAAGTTCTAGCAGCATTAGTCAAATGACTTTAAGAAARAAAGATAGGGACAGTCAAAGTTAACCTCACCCCAATATCCCCAGTGTTTAGTATTGTTAGAGAACTATTTCTTTACTTTCCAATCTTGGTTTATGTTAACTTTTAAGAGTAAACAAAAGCCAAAGGGAGAAGGTTCCTTAAATCAAGTGCCAACAGTTATAAAAAATACTGATTTTTTTTCATCTTGTCGTAATTCATCAGTATTTGTAATAGTGTGGCTCTTCAGCTATCATATATTTTGTACTATGAGAGGTGTCATTTAACAAAGGGTAACAAATAACTGACAACAAAAATTCATTGTGCTTTGGATTTTGTTTCTCATGGTCATTAGTCCAAATGCTCAGTCTTTTTCTTCCTTTGGGTTGATGGTTTCCTGAGTTGGTGGTTGTGATCTCCCCACGTCAGAATTACCTTTACCCAGTCAGTCCTGATTTCAGCACAGTTGCTGAGTCAGCTTTATTGTTTTCTTCCTTGTATTGGGAGTACTGCCAAATGTCCTTGTGGCCTGTAAGTTGTACATTCTTTGTGTCCTCTATCAGTAGTACATTCTCCCCAAGCTTTGCTAACCCCCAGCTATGTCTGAGATCATTGAAGCATGTCAAGCCCTAAACTTTAAGGGGCCAACAAGTACTTTGTCTAACACCTGGGCATCACTTAGAGCTTGCTAGTTAGCTGCTATCTGGTTTACAGATAAAATCTTCTTTCTTGTTGATTAGGCTTGAAAATATACAAAGATGAAATATCAAAGAACATAAAAAAATATCAAAGAACATCCTTTACTGACAATGTTTTTACATATTTCACATTTTGCAACAAGGTTCTGCAATAAGGCAGGACCCTGTTTCATAACCTTCTGATTCCCTGTAATTCTCGGGGCAAATTGTTAATTATTTCTGTCTCTTGAGATGTCAGCACCAATCTCTTCCCTTTTATCTCATTGTTTCTCTTTGTTGCATTCCACGTTCTTTAGGTCAAGCTGTTCTCCTTTTTCCAAAAACAGACATCTGTTACTTATCTCCATCAACACAGCTGGGATGTTCCTCAAACTGGGTTCAGTACCTGTTGTGCAAAGCCAGTGTCATGCCCAGAGCCAAGATATTTGGTTTATTTCATGTTTGCACAAAGATGGATGCTAGTAGTAATTCCACAAAGCCAACTTGTAATGCATGCACATTTATACATTTCAGATTAGCTTATCTATTTCTTTCTAATACATAGTAATAGACTGGCACAATATTTGCTAACTACTTCTGCATGTGCACAACTGCTCATCTTTTGAGTTAGTGGGTTCCTTGAGTCCATGGTCATGATCTGCTGCCAGAATTACTTCTCCTCTAAGGATGCAATTTCTGAGCCAAAGCAGTTCATCATCTTGTTTACCTTCTTGATTTAAGATGGRGCCCTTAGGACCTATTGGCTGGTGTCCTTGTTTCTTTGTTCCTTTACWGAATCTCTTTAGGTCATCTTGACTTTCTGGTATAAACCAGCAATTTTTCCATGTACACTGAACAGCAACTCCTGTAACTTATACAGCACTGGCACAACTTTYAGGAAGCAAGTACCGTTTTTTATACAAAAAGGTGTCAAGGAAAGAGTCGTAAAAACACTGACAAATAGTCACGCATGCTTAATCATTGATGCCTATGACAAAATTCCTAATGCACATATGCAAATCTGGATCCAGCTCATTATATTATCATTTACAGAGACAAATTTTCCTGGTGGGGGGAAATGCGTGTGTGTGTGTGTGTGTGTCTTTGACACACAGTAATCTACGGTAATTCTAGGTTATAGTTTCATTCTATCAACTATGAAGTTACTATTTATATTCTATTACTGTTTCTGCTTGAGCCTCTTTTAAAAAAATGGTTGTTAACTAAATAAGGATTTGTAGTATTGTGTTCCTGGGGCCTCATCACATATCATTCCATTCCTGAGGACTCTTCACTGCTCCATTACTCCAGCCCTCATTGTTATGGTCTTGAAACTGACCTACAGCTGCTAGGGGCTTTTGTGAACTTCAATGCATTTCTAGCTYCATGTGGCATCATGACCACAGTAAGGAAGTTCAACTACAATGGTTATAAATGAGCATTTGCAAGGGGAAATAAAATGTAAACAGTATTGGGCAGAGAGGCCTTTTTTTCTTGTTTTTGGTTAAGCCAGTCTTCTGCTTTGTATTTATTAGTCTTGTGCATTCCCATTTCTGTCCCATCTCTTTTTGCACCTTGAAGGATTGCTATTGTCTGCCCTATATTTCATCTTCCTTTCTGCTTTCTTATACTCCATTTTCATCCTGTTCCTGGTTTGTTCTTTTATTTTTCAGATAATCATGTTTCTTGTCCTCCTCCTTTTTGTCTTCTTCATTGACAATGGGAAAAACATGGTGTTTTTCATAAGAGCACCTGTTAGTGTCTAGTGCTAAAATATGTAGTTTAGTGTCAAGATTTCATGCAAAATGTCAGCAACACCATGGAWAGACCTTGTCAACCCAAACATAAATGTTTCTTACTGCAGTTTGTAGTAGCTGTTGTTATAAAAGCAAAGAGACCTAGGGCAGATGCCTTTCAAATAGCATAATCTTTCTATTCTACACTTTAATGCATTGATTGTGGAAGAAGAAAATGCAGGATTACTCAGTCCTGTTTCTAACATTTCTCTTCTCTTTTGCTACACTACCTTTCTCTTTACTGTCTTCTCTTCACAGTGGGAAATGTTTATACAATCCATAAATAGACTGCCAGGGGAGAAAAGATCACAGGCAGACGGAATCATCCCACAATAAGAAATGGTAGCAGCAACTGGAATAAGCTTCAAACTGAGAAAATACTTCGTGAATCAATTTAGAACTCTTTGGGAAAATCACAGAAAGAAGCAGAAATGAGACAAGATGTTTTAGACAAGCTAACATAGAATTTTCCAACCAGAAGTATAGATTCAAAGTAGTAAAATAAAAAGTAGTGAAATTTAGTTTTGTTACAGCACTCTAATCTGGGCAAAATGATGGTGAGAGTGTTGTATGTGCAACAGACTCTATTCTCTGCCATATACCCAGCAGAAACAAAAAAAACAAGGCTCCAGTGAGAAGTGAGAAAAAGATGACTCCATAAATCTACAAAATGAGTGTGAAGCAGAAGGGGATGGCTCCATAAATCCAGTAAACATGGGGATAACACAGGAACAACTGCCTGATAAGGTCAAAGAAGAAATTTGCTTGACTTTTGAGCTAACCTTTAGTSATTACCATAGTAAAATACAATCCTGTAAGCCACTTCCCCCTAGAGCATGGGTGAAAAAATAAATGGGTGGTCTGACTTGAAATGAAGGTAAGAAAATGTATGGCCAATGAATACAGAAGGAAGGCTTCTGTTCCAGGGTTTGGGGTGTACAAAAGTAGGTCCTGGCACTGCAGATGTGCCGGCCCTGTGGATCCACTGCCCAGCATCTGCTCTAAAAGCACAGGAAATACAGCTCTTGACTCTCTGTTAGTCGGCTTCTTCCATACTTGGTAAGAGAACCCATAGCTGGGACAACAGCACCAGAAGYTTTTGTGACCCAGATGGAAGAGCTGCAGACCTGGATTGTCCTTCTGTCCCAGCAACAGCAAGTCAGGTGGGACAGGTCTCCAGTGCACACCGACCCCTTGATTGGGGACTCCACTGAATCCTCTTCAGTGTCAGGGTGCTGCAATGCCTGAGAGATGTATTTGAGTAAGACCAAAAAGGGGGTGTTCGTGTGTGTGKCAGCTTTCCTGGACCCCCAGAATTTTCTAGATTGGTAAGTGCAATTTTGTTCCTTTTTCTTCTTAAAAAGAATTTCAGCCTCCACATAAGCCATGCATGAATGCTTAGTGTGGGGCTTAATCAATGAGTGGATTCAAGTGTTGTGCAGTGCAGAATGCTGGAGATCCCAACCTAAGGGTAAAAGTATTGGGTAGCGTTATATTTAACAATGGAAACAAACCCCTGCCCCCCAACCCATAGCCCTCTAAGATGCATTCTGAAAAACTGGAAAAAGTTTGGGCTTCACAACGACAAGGGAATAGATGGAAAAGTATTGTTATCAATTTTGGGCCAAATTATAAATTGGACAACAGTAAAAGATGGCTGCAACTCAGAATCTTGAAGTATGTTTTGCCAAGGAGAAGGGACACTGACCTCATCATGTTACAAGGAACAGACCAGGAATGAAGGACACCAGAACCACAGGCAAACCAGGGGAGCAAATCTAATTTTCTGTGAACAGTGTCTCCCACATTTATCATATCTGCRTAGCTGTTAGAGGTTTGTCCAGTTATCAGTGCTTCATTTTAGTGAGTGGTGATGTGTTCTGGAAGATAGTCTGCATTTTATGAAACCTATTTATTTTGTTTGAATTTGAAGAGAAATACACTGTGTTGTGGGTTTTGTTACTTATAATTAAGCCAAGCACTTGCCTATGCAACAGGGATGGCTAAATTGAAAGCATAGACTACGGTCTTGCCTCTCAGAACTACTGAGACATAAAGAATTCACTTATTTTGAAGCACGTATTGATCAATAAAATCCTCCTGGGTGAAAGTGTAAGTTCAAGCAGGAAAGTTAGGATTTTCCTACTAAGACTGTAGAATATTGAAGAACTGTTTAAGAAGGGGAAAATCTGAATTAATATGAGATAAAGTAAGTTTTACTTGTCTTTCAGGCAACAAAAGCTGCAATAGCTGAGTCTGTAGAGCATGAGGTCAGATATGCATTCCATGCAGGGTAGAGTCTCCTAAGCTTCTACAGTGTGTTCTTCACTGTGACAGCAGGGCAATAGGATAGTCCCTTTCACTCAAAATGTATTACATTATTCCCACATACGTACAGAATTCACATATCAACCAGGTTAGGAGCGTGTGGTTTTTATTTGGGCTGTTGGAGCCAGGGATAATGCATCTACAAGCAAACATCTTTGCTTGCCACAGTAAAAACAGAACAGAGAGATTTTTAGCAGAATTCCGTTCATCTACCAAACACATCCCATGGAGCCAAAAAGTATTTGACAGACTGTAAGATTTTTAAGTCCACAGACATATGATTACATTGACATCTGATTACAGCAATCAACTGCTAATACCACAACAAAAAGTCTCATTTCAGAACAGTCTTGTTATGGGGTATAGATATGAARTATTTTATTGCGACTTCTTGTGGTCTCTAATCACATAGAAGAAATTTAATTGTGAAATGTCATTTTATTATCAGTTTTTCAGTAGTGTTTCTTACTAATAAATTTTGCTCCCTGTCTCTGATTTTCTAACAGCTTTGCAAAACAAACTTTGGTAGCAACAAATAACATTCTGCATTCTCTTAACRGTGTATATAACTTATGTAAATTGGTGCTCTCTCTCTTTTTCCTATTACATCATTAATCATTGAAGAACAGAAATTAAGGAATATGAAAACTGTYGCTTTTTAGAAATAACAGAAAGCCTTTGTCGTAGTCAGTATTTTCTTCCAGTTCATTTTCCTGTGTATTTTACTACAGTCACTACTGTTTTTTTCCAAAGGTGTCATAAATAAGTTACCACTCTTTTTTCTTAAGGAGCCATAAATAAGTTAGTCCTCCTTTTTCTTGAGGAGCCATAAATAAGTTAMTGTAAAATTACCTGAAGTATTTTAATGTTCCACTCACAGCAGGTCTTTTGTGAAGCAATACAGTGTTCTTTGCAAATCAAGGCACCTCAGCTCTCTTGGCTCTGGATCATTGCATTCTTSATAAATGTAACTAACTGTTCTATCATTTTTAGACTTTGAAAAAAATGAAGAACACAAAAAAATGATGAAAACAAAGAAATGAGTTTTCTTAGATCACTCTTTGGTRCATTTGATTGAGACCCAGAAACACAACCCTGATAAGCTCAATTACAGACTTGATAGGCATCAGACCATTTTCTTCCTTCAGCCTCTCCCATCCTGAGGACATTGTGTCCATTCTTTGCTTTAAAGCTGAAGACCCCAGCAYCACTGATAATTCACTGTCTTTTAACAGGTCATGTGTGGGAGAATTGGCAACCTCAGTAGTGGAAAATGAAACTCCTTCCTTCCCATGAGTGCATTTGTTCATTAGCCAGCACTCCAAGGAAAAGAGCAATAGGCCACAGCTCAGGCAAACATGAACACAAATACATACACAMAACTAACAGCCTATAATCTGCTCCTATGTAGCATTATGAACTGTAAAAGTATATAGGCATAGGACTGTGACTGTGAAGGCCACTATAGCACCTTTGAAATCACTATCACTTCATAAAGACATTTGGTCTAGTCTTGTAAAAACATGTCAACCCTGAAATAAAATCAACGTTAAGCACAGATCCAGAAGCTCATCAAGTTCTTTGCTCATTTTTCCCAGCATTATAAAAATCAAGGATTTATTTAAATAAAAGTATTTTTCATTCACAGTAGTAATAGGCAAACATTTCCATTTGTGTGCCGTATGGACATATCTATCTCTGTATCACTAAAAAAACCTCATTGAAGGGATTATTATACAGTTTACTGTATTGATGTATAATGTGTAACTGTATTATACAACTAATATAGAAGAGAAGTATGTATTACATATCATTGCACATTAACTATTTAATACAATTCTGTAGCATTGCAGGTGCATCTTTGGATCTCACCACCTCATGGTTGGGCTGTACGGAATTCCAGCATCACAAAATGATAGCTTGTACCTTGACAGTTTTTAAGACAGAACTTGGAGCACTTACATTGTACTTCAGGAGCTCTGACAGTTTTTCATCTCTACWATATAAGTTCTGAGCTCTGATGATTTCAGTGTCCAGGTTTTATAAATCAGAGCTGAGGTCAGTGCCACCAGCCATGTTCTCATTGGGGACAGGAAGAATGCCAAGGTGCCGTATGTTCGCAGCAGGAAATAGCAGGAATAGACCTGCCAGGCCAGGAGCAGCGCCATTGCCAGGTGAACAAGCACAGCCACGAGGCATCGGACRTGACGGACATGGGAACGGAAGCTGTGGCCCTGGCATCGCAGCAACAGGCACCAGCACAGATAGGCCATCAACGGCAGGTTGAAAAACATCATCTGAAAGGAAGAACAGAAAAAAAAGAGAATGAGCAAGCCAAGGGTTCTGGGTAACATGTATTAGGCTTAGAAAGATACGAGTACGTAAAGCTGTTCCATTCTAGGGGCTGAGAACAATTCCCAGAGAAAGAACCTCAGGATGCACTTGCAAAAGTCTGCAGCTGACAGAGCTGGGACTGCCTGTGCCTCAGTCCCAGGCCAAGCATTCCTGCCCATTCCCTTGCAGTGAGATGCACTAACATGCATCTGACCTTTCTTGGAGCTGATTCAGGGAGCCAGACTTAGCAAAAAATAGCATGGCAGAACCAGAAAGTCTGTATGTCAGTTTTATTCTAACCCAGCCCACSATGTGTCACACTGGTACAAGGGAGACACTATGAAGAAGGAGGCAACACTGGTTTGGTCCTCTAGCTTAAGTGCCAAGGAATGACACCTTCTCTTTCAGATTAATGGGGAAATCAGTCCTGGGAAAACATGTGTGCTTGGAGAGTGACACCTACTGATCTGAAGGGTTGTTCAGGGTGCAAGGGCTGCCCTGGACGCGCAGTTTCTTTTGCTTAATCAGTGTGTGAGAGCTGATGGCAAAACCAGAAAATTTATAGAAAATTTAAAGTTGTAAATCTGTAGAGATGGCCTCTAGCCCAGATATCCAGGGAGTGCAAAGCAACATCATTTTATCAGAGAATAAGAGAAGTTTGCAAAAATAATGCACAACCTCCTTCCTTTCTGCCCTTTAAATCTGCAGAAGGGAAGGAAGATCTCTTCTTGTCAGGCATGGCTACTAATCTCTCGTCTTCCAAGACTCCATTCTTCATAAAACTATTAAAAAATAGAAAAAAAAAACCCAGAGAAAAAAAGCAGTTCTTCAGCCTTAATTTTATAAATACGTACCTGTAAAATCCCAACGACAAACGTTATGCTGCCCTGTAAGAAGGAACCACCGACAAACAGCCCAAAGGAAAAACAGGCCCCCATCTGGCCATCTACCAGCTCACCTACAAACCATGGTCCTGCAGGAGAGGAAAGCAAACATCACCATCAGGAAACACAATACAGACACACCCCTTTCCCACATGGCCCTTTGTACCCTAAGACTTCTCTATTGCTTGTCCATACTAATACGCCTCATGTTTTCATCTTCAGCAAACTGCGGCCTGGTGTGAAAATACCACAGTATTGCAGGGATTTGTGGCATGCAATAAAAATACTTTTAAGTTAGTTTCATCTCTGTCGCAATTTTCAACACCATGTATAAAATCTTCCTTATGAGAGAGGTGAAATGTGGATCCTTTCAAAGGGTAGCTTTTTCCCAGAATTACAATAAGATATATGAAAAATGTGGTCACAAACAATTCCAGCCTGGCTCAGCACAGAGATTAAAATAGGCAGGCTGAGCTATGCTATGCATACTGTACTGACTAACAACAAAACAGCTATTTCAGTAACGTTATCAGAGGAGAATAAACTCAGATTGTAAGCTCTGATGTTAACAATCAAAAAATAAGTGAAAACCAAACTAAATTTTAAAATACWCACTTTGCTTTTAGAGTAATTTAACAATTTTTTAAACAATTAATTCAGGGATTCTAAGTTAGGCTCTTACAAATAAACCTTTAGTCTCTTTGGACATTAACTTTAAAAGCTCTACATAGATTATGTAACTTAAATAGACTTACCCCATTTCCAAGATGTTAGAATTAGTAATTTTCATCAGGATCTGATGTGCAATTTCACAATGCTAATTTATGTCCTCCAGTACTCTAGGCTACTTACCCAGAAGGGTGTATAAATTCAGAAGCAGAATTGAGTAATAGAAGGTGTTTGTTTTACTGAAGACATGAAGGGAATACGAAGTCAGAGTAAGTAATCCTGGCTTTTCTAAACAGAGACAACATTTAAGAAAAATACACTTAATTCACATTGCAACATCTCCCCAGATATATATGTATGTAAAATACTGGTCTTTCTGAAACAAATATGCACATTAATTACTCATTCTTTTAAATAAGAAATAGAAAAATAGTATTTGGTATGTCTACAGAAGAAATGCATTGCTAATTACTGTGAAAGTAATGCATTGCTATTACTGTGATAACTGAAAGTAAAGAACCTTTATTATAAACAGCAGAGAAACCTGCCATTCTAAAGGAATACACTTACTGTATGTAAATAAAATTGAATGAGCATTCTATACCAGAAAATGAACTTAGCTASAATGAAAAACATGGAGAAAGTACATATTAAATAAGAAGTAAAAAAAATCAAAACAGTAACTGTGCAAACCCAGAAAGGCAGGTCAGCATGGACTAGATTAACTGCATTTCCTTTCATTCAATCTACTTTAGTGACATCTCATAGCAACTCAAAATTAAGGCTAGGCATTAAAATGACATTATTCTGACAAGTATGGGGTGTAAGCAGAAAAAAAGCTGTATTAGCTTTCTAACTAAAGCAGACAATTCACAGATCAAGAGAGCCTCCCTATAAAAGTTAGCTTGCAGAGTTACACCTGTTATATGTCTGCCCTTCTCACAAAGAATTAACTCTCAGAGGGCAAGCTTCACCTTTGGAAATCAACAGGTCTAACAAATTTGTTCACTAACTTGTAAAACATTTGTCCACATGGACCCAGCTGACCACAGAGTCAGCTCTTTTAATATTTAGCTGCTGAGTTCCATAAAGGCAACTGAAAATCTGTCCCTTTTCTATGTGAGCAGTTGCTGTAGTTACCTCACGATGCTACATGATTAAGAGTACAAAGGAAGGGACAAACACTGACATGAATAGGAAGGGAGGTGGCTTCCAGAAAATTCTCATTAGTAAGGTGTGGTTCAAACAATTGTTTAAAGGATAAACACCATGAGCTTAATAGTAAGAATCTTCATTTACATGATCTATCACAAACAAAACACAAAGTTATGACAGAAATGGCCTTAATATTACTTTGAGAAAGACTCAATCCTGTTCATGTTCTTTGCAAAAACATAACAAAAATTATCWTTGCAGAAGGAAGTCTGTTTCTCCACTCAGGTGAGAGAGAATTAATTGACAACTGTAGTGAAAGAAGCACACATACAGTACTAATACACAGTAAAACATTTAAGCATTGAATTCTTCAGTGAGAACATTAAAATGAAACCCTGGATTTCCATCAACCAAATTYTGTTCAAAGATACCTGCTCAAGTTTCTGGTTTATTTATTTGATATATTGGCATTTTTGCTTAAAAGCAAAACAGCAGCTTCTGAGAAAGCAATCAAACTCCATAGTAGCAGATGTAAAATACATATGGTGATTAACAGCACAATTACTTACATATTGTTAGCACACAGGTCAACAGTATAAAGATTAGGGGAAAATCGATTCACTAAACCACATAAAAACATTAGTTCATACCTTTGAGTGTTGGCTTTTGGAGGTATCTGAAAACAACAAGCAAGGTGATCTGAAGCAGCACAATCAGYCCAAAGAGCACACGAGCCTGAAACGACAGTTCTAACTGTAAACCAGCCCTGGAGCTGTAGCAGCCTTGAAGCATGCCTGATGGACACTTATGCCTTATGGATGGAATGGTACAAAGATTTCTATTTGAAACACATATTCAAAGCTTGTTGGTCTCATTGAAATGAAGAGTTATTGGATTTGYATTGCACGGACTTGAATTCTGCTCGATGGCTGAAAGTAATAGATCTGAACATTTAAAAAACAGGGTTTGTAAACACATCCACTGAAGAAGTGTAATTACACTTACAAGGCAAAACATTCTCCGAGCATTGTACTGAGGAGAAAAGCAATTCAAGACATTGTGTAGAAAGTGTGACTGATTAAAAAAACTAAGATAATAATTTTGAGCCAATTATGATATGAACTATGGCCACATGGACTTTTTTATGTTGTTCTAGAAGTGCACCTAAACTATTATGACATGACATCCTTTCTTACAGCATATACTGAGCTGTAACACATGTGGATATGACCTGGAACTTCCTAAAGTGAATGGGGATTTTGCCCTCCTCTTTGCTGCAGCTAGTTATAATGTCAGGAGCTGACAAAATACTTGCAGCATTCTTGCCAGAAAACATATTGCAACAGATCATAGTGAATTTCTTTTTGACTGAATTTTCCTTTTTCCTTTTTCTACTATCTCCAGTAGCACCTTTTCAATTTTTTGCTTGCACAAAATGGGTCTATACTTATGCCCAAAAATGGATAATTGGGATTAAATCCAGAAAGTCAGGTGTTTGCATGAACCATTGCTGCACATTTGTGGTTGAAGTGTGCAACTTGAGAAACTTTAAATGTTCTGGAATTCCAGCAGAGTCRTATCCGGAAAAAGTAAACTGCATTCAGGCCTACCAGGAATTAGGAAAATACCTAGTGCAGCTCTGGGAAACCAACATGGAATAACAGCTATTTGGTTCAAAGTACTTACTAGAACATAGTGGTCAGTGAGAAGAATAACAGATGGCCAAAAGCCAAATCTAAGAGAGAGGTTTTCTTCCATAGCAAATACATGGCCCCGTGTGCCAATTCTTCCTGARGCATCCTAGATTGATATAAAATGAGAGCAATTACATACCATTAGTACAGAAAACCATCTAGGTAAAGTTCCTAATTATCATTTCAGCTTTTCTAGAAGATCGACTTGATGCATGCTTCTCTGGCATACTGCTTTATTAAATACTTCTACCTACAAAGGATTACTTACTGTCATTTCTGCAGTTTCAAGTAATTTAGTGATTGTAAAACCATAATCTACAAGTATCACATATGAAGAAGATCCCATCAGAGATTCAGCAACTTATGGAAGACTGGCTGTTTACTGTCCCCACCACCAATCATTTTCTGAAAGTTCAATTCTAGGTCATAGCCCATATTAAAATATCTTGAAGTTTGTTGTCACAGAGCTGCTCCCCAGATGGTCACAGAGCTGCTCCCCAGACTGTGCTGCACTCCTGGATTATGTTTTATCAGGCACAAGTCCTTACACTGTCCTTGATGAATTTCTTAATGTTCTTCTTGGCCCACAATTTGTTCTTGGTCAATCTGTGTTGACTCTTCCCAGTCACATCCTTCATCTGACTTTGTGATAGCTCCCCGCAAAGATTTGTTTTCTAATTTTCCCAGGGACTGAAGTAAGACTGATGGGCCTATAATTTCCTGGACCCTCCTTTAAGCCCTTCTTGTAGACAGGAGTGATATTAGCTTTCTTCTGGGATGCCCCCTTATCTCCAAAACTTCTCCAAGACTATGGAGAGTGGCCTTGCAATGATGCCAACCAGGTCTCCTAACACTCTGTCCGGGCCCAGGGATTTGTAGGGTCAAGTTCCTGTGACAAGTCTCACACCAACTCTTCTTTCACTGACRGTGGGTCTGTTTATATCAACCTTGATCCTTGTTCCCAAGGCTTGAGACCCAACACTGCTGGTAAAGACAAAGGTGAAGAAAGTGTTGAGAACCTCTGCCTTTTCAGCATTTCTGTTCACCTCTGCTGTTTAACACCAGACCAACACTTTCCTTCTGTTTCTGCTTGTTGTTTATGCACCTTAAGAAGCTTTCCTTGTAATTTTTGACATCTCTGCCCAATTTCAATTCAAATTTGGTCTTCTGTCATGTCTTACTGTATTTCTTACAAAAAATATTATTTTCTTTCTTTAGCGCAGCAGCTCTGTGAATATTTTGGTGCTTAGCAGTCAGTACTCTTTCCTTTATCAAATCCTTTGGGTTTTGTAATCAGACAAATACGAAAGTAAGTCTTCTATCATGTATTTTGTTCCTAGTTATGTGAGGCAGGAGGGTGATGGAGAAGTCATGACAAGAAAAAAATATTCAATACAAAGAATGCAAACAAGTAACTTACCTGGACAGTCACATCTATGTGATGGAACCCTTCACTGTAGTTTTGTGGGCTCCACTTCAGCACATAGAGAGGGCCAGACACCCGATGTGCATTCCCCAGGTGAACTCCATCTATGTAGACTTTGACAGAGATAATGACAGAAGGAGAGAATGCCAGAATTCTAAGGAGTAAATAAAGAGCAAAATAAACAGATTTGTTACAGGACTTGCAGATTGGCTCTTACTTCCTTAAGAGAAGGCCCTAAGGGTTAAGCTATCTTGTAATAAAGAGTTAAAAAGATTTAGAAATTAAAGCAGTGAAATATCTGTAGGCTAATGGTAACATGGTAGCTCTTTTCCACAATTAAAAAAGCAGTAGTTCTGTATGGCACTGCACAAAAGAACAGAATAGAAAACTGGCTGTGGAACAGACAAAAAGGTGGCAGAGATTGTAAGGTTCTGGCAGAAATAATCTTAGAACTCTTGCTTCAAAACATTGGCTAACACAAGTGGGATGCATCCTAAAGCACACATAGACACACAACCAAATACTTGTAGATGGCTTCATTAAAAATTGCTAGGCCCTCTCTCTCTAAAGTMCTTTGTTGTTGGGAGTGGGGTTTTCTCCTTCTTTTCTTTCTCTCTTTTCCCTTTGCTGGTCAGAATATAACCTTTCAGTGTTTGTAACTGTATTTAGGAAAAATGGAGTGGAATGCAAGACTGATATTACAGATTTCAGATACCAACAAATGTATTGTCACTTGGCAGTGCTTATATTCATAGAATCAGTGATATAACACAGACTCAAAATATTGCACGTACAATTCCTTTCATTTCTGGTAATACAAAAGGMATTCCAGAGCATGTTTTAGTAAAATGAAGGAGTTTCATACAGTTACAGGAAACAATTCTACCACTTCATATATTTAATACAATCATAAGAATGTTCAGATAAGATTCTAAATAGAAAACTGAAAAAGAAATAGGACACTTAGCAGGACCCTGCTTCTTAACTGAAAACYATGACAAGCTTCTTTTGATTTTAATTCTATGTATGCAGTAGTTCAAGCAGATTGCTCTAACAGCAAATATAAAATATTGAAAAGGGCCTAGAAATTTGAAATATAAATGTAAAAATTTAATAGATAAGGTAAAAATAGAAAAAAGAAAATATTGATTTAAAATCAATATGAAAATAGGTAGGCTTCTGATGCTACATAAGGGATGTAAAACTGAAAAGACAAGAAGCTAATAAGTCTGAAGTGGATAGAGAAAACACCTAGAAAAATACATAGACAAAATTCTGAAAACAGCAGAGTCAATGTGAGCATGTGAGAAACCAAATTGCATATTAATCTATGCATATCTATTATATACTAATCTAYTTTAATTATATATTAATCTATCAACTTTGGTTACAAAAAGTTCAATTGACTTCAGGGGAAAAAACTGCTTAAATAAAACAAATATGAATTACTACTATACAATCTTTTTATCACAGATGGGATACAAAGAGAGCCGTCTGAAACCATCTTCTAGATAAGTGGATTCTGAGAACAGTGGACACACATTTTAAAAAAGATTTTGTGTCTATACATATAGTTAAATATTGTGAAAWCAAGACATTACAGGGTACCTGATATGAGTAGAATGAAGAATTTTGACCAGTGGTTCATGARTAGAACTGCTGTAAAGGAGTGATTTGGGATTGGTGATGAGAACTACAGGCCACTCTTCAAAGATAAGATCTGCAAAACTCAGGAGGTCGTGATCAAATGCAAGGATACGGTACCTATAATGAAAGGAAAAAAATAGTTTCATACAAACTACTGWGTGTACAGCTGATTCCCATGCTTCTCAAGTTGCTAAACAAAACCTGAATTTATTGTGTATTTTTTCTCATCGGTAGTTGATCCCACATCTGAACTCTGCAGTATTAACTGTACAGCTGCWTACCTCTGATGATGTTAATTTTATTATAAATCATGGAAGCAGTAATCAAAGTTCCAGGTGTGAAGATTTCTGGATTTTTGCACATGAATCAGATAGACAAACATTATGTTAAAGAACTCAAATAAAATGTAAACAGTGTCTGTGTAGGTACTCCAGTTAAGGACAAACACTCCAGTATGCTCCTTCCCTCTATGCATACCAGTACCTTTCTTTGGATTACTGCAGAATGAAAGCTAATATACTACTATACACTGCATGTAGCATCAGACACTTTTTGATGTGCTAGTAAGGTAACATTTCTCAGGTGGACTATCTCTATGTCAAGAATTCYAACAGCTAGTGCACAGCATGTGGATTTTTAAGTAGTGATGCTGAATTTTATTACATTTGAATACTATACACATATTAAAGGGACATTTAGATGTCCCCCTTTTAATTTCTAAATATCAAGAATTAGTAAAAAATTATTTAATTTGGTAGCACACTGTTGGCATGGGGAAAAAATCCCAAATGTACACACAAAGACTTTTTTCAAAAGCATTTATAGTAATACCCAGTCAGGCTGATCTCATTCTTCTTTCAAATTGACCAAACAGCATAAAAGGGAATCWCAGTTTAGCAAGGTAGGCTTCATATAATAATTTGTTCATTTGGGCTTTACTTACCTCCTGTTATCCATCCAGTCTCCCAATTCGAGTTCCAGAGTGCCACCACGGTGTTGACTGTGCAAGACTGGCATCAGCCCWGCCATTGTATGGAGATGTCCACATAAATAGGCTGTGGCAGAACTAAAAAAAGGATGTAAGAATTGTAATTATTTGGGTAGAAAGGAAATAATACTGCAGAAAACCTAAAAGTGAGATTTAAGCATGTGAAGAGAGGCAAGAAATGTACTTCAGGCTGAAAACAAGAAGGATAAGAAGACCTTACCTCATTAATGTTCGTATTCCAGGGGATGGGGAGATGATTGTTGAGGTGGGATAATGGCCAAACCAGATTGTGTGGTTGCTGTGCAGACTTTCTGTTGCCATCAAAGACAGCTCTGCCATTTGATTCTGAAACAGGTAGGTGACAAATCCATTTTGCTAAATAAATGTCCCACATGCATAATAACTTRAAGCCATAAACAGATATCTCTTACAGATGAATGCAAATCTTTCAAACAATTCTTCTATATTAAAAAAAAGACAACCCAAACCTCCAAATAAACCACCACAGAAATAAAACAGTCAACCAAATGGAATGCAAAGACTTATACAATACCATGTTTAAAATCCCAAAAAAATTATAGGGTCTCTTAGGGCCTGGGCTGAGTGTTGCATCCACRCAGATGAATGAATAGTTCCCAAAAGAGGTAGTGTGCATGTAATGGAAAGAGCCATCTTTACGCCAGGCAGAGTATTTCCTAACAAAATAAAATGGAAACACTGCTGTTAGGAAAGCTTGTAGCCACGATAAATATATATTGCTTTCTCTCCTTCCACTGACAATAGGTAATTTCACTATTTTTGAGATAAAATTGAAGTGCTTTTGATACTTTATGCTAGATGGGCTTTGTATGCATCTTCCACTGGCAGACTTAYATTTCAACTAACAGTACCTACTAAATTGTTCTATTAATGAGTAAATTCTGTAACTAAAATGATTGTGAGTTAATCTGAGAATCACTAATATTCATTATGTTTAATTGGGTGGTGTTTTTAATTTTCTTTTAACATTTTCAATGGGCGTTTTTGTGTGAGTTTGGTTTTTTTTGAGTTGTTTTAGTCCCTGCATGATACGTGGAAGCTAAAACATTCCTGAGTTCAGATCATGAGTATAGCTTTAACACAGCCATCCAGAAATCAGTCCATGTCCCTGTTCCTCCACTAATCAGAATAACAAATTGCCAGAAAGGTTGACCTGAATACAAGACAAGCCAATATATAAAAAAGAAGTTTCCAAAATAAATCAATACTTCTAATGCCATAAAAACCCTTCCACAATATGTATTTTTTTAAGTTAACATTTATGAACATCATTAACTTCAATAAAATTTCTTCCTTTAGTCCCAGTTTGAGTATCTGTAACAGTCGAATCATACTCTGCTAATGCTGTGAACATGTAATAGAATCCTATGCTTTTGTGTAAAATATTGTATTTCAATACAACCCACATTCTTCTTTAATTTTAATGCATAATGAATACCAGAATGTGGTGTTGAGTAACTGTTTTCCTAGCTTCTGTTTTTATTTTTGCAGACAATTTTAATAATTTTAACAATTTAAATAATTTTTATTGTTTATATTTTTATATATTAATAAACCAAACCAACTCCATTTCTCATCTTCTCTCTCCTAGAGTTTGATAAAAAATTTTGTAGACACTCAAACATGGAAGGATAAGAGGTAAGAAATCTGCACAAAGAATTCTCTATTTTTTCAATAGATTCTGCTCTCCTAACTGACAATGCAAAAGACAGAGGGAATAGTCAATATGGTCCTGGGCTACAGGAAAGWCAGTGAAAAATCATGTATGTGAGAACTGAAAACAAAACATTTTTTAGTAGATTTGACCTAGAAKATAGCACCATCTGTATGTTACATAAAAGTACCTGTAATAATTCTGAACGCTGTCCAGGCGTGGAATGTTGAATGCATCTGTAGGGGAGATAAAAAGGAAATAAGGAAACTTTTGGATCAAATTGATCAGTGGCCCTGTATCTTACTTGGTAATGTTGAGATAAAGCAATCTCAGCAGGTGCTGAAGAGGTGTTTTTTTAATACAYGATTGGCAAGCAGACTGTCTAACTGTGCAGAGGAGACATTATCTACTCGATGCAGTTAAGTGTCAATAATTTTCTCATTTAAGTTTMAATTCAAAGATAAAGGCATTGTGGGAATATAAGTTATTATTTAGTGGCTAAAAGCTAAATCTATCATCTCCACTTTGACCACAGAGCTTTACAGAAGCTTTTTCGGTCTGGGTGCATGCTCTGTAAACAAGACCTAACTCATTCATGGAAAATAAAGTAGCCATAGCATAGSGAACAACATGTGTAAAACAGACATCACCTTGGGGAGGTCTGTACTGTAACTGCGTTCCACCTCTCCATTAAAGCTGGTAACAGAAGCSTGGTGGGGAAATGGGTATATATGACAAAGCATGCACTTTTTTCCCCCACAGTGCTGGGCTTTCTTGTTCTGCCCTTCCTGTAACAGCCTGTTTATACTCCCATGAGTCCTTTCTATTCAAAAGAAACCAAATTTCCTTTAGCTGCTGGACATTTGATACCTTTTAAACTTAAACCTGTGAAGGGGAATTCTATGAAAAGTAAACTGAAACCATTTCTTCAATAYGGTAAAGTTACAGCTTGCCCCTCCATTAAATAATGTGGTATATAAAATAATGACATGGAAACTAACATTCTGAAGTCATGTTCTACCACTTGCCAGGCAAAAGACTCTTACATCTCCGGTACTAAAACTTTGTAAACAAAGTATGTTCTCGGTAGACATGTGGAAGGCAAATCTTTCTCTTGATTCATAATGACCACTAATACACTAGTGAGTACTAACACTTTATATTCTCTGATCTGTAATCACAGAAAAGACAGAGTTGTTTCATTTCCTTCTTACCATGATTCCCTTTGATGTCTATCCACTTGGTTTTTTTCATGACCCTTGATCTCTTCAGGATTGTCTGGTAAGTTTTCCACTCATCTTCTACCTGCTCAGATCCCAGTTTATCTCTTGTCTTAGCATCTGTCAGATCACCTGAAAGTGTACAAGGGTGAGATATAGCTAGAGGCCGACACAGCTTATACAGATACTGTAACTACACAAGCAATCCCTGCCTCCCAGTGTAAGTGGCTGCAGACCCCTGGGTGAAATCTGGATGTTTCTGTATCTGGTCCACRARGTCGCTGTGAGGGTAAATGCCTTTTAAGGCAGATGCAGCAGCCTCATCAGACATCTATCAACCACATCACTGCAGCACTTTTACTAATTAGATAAGTAACTGTARAAACAAGACTCCAGGTCTGGCATTAAGATTCTAAAGCCTTACACACTGTAATGGCTCAGAATCTTTTTYATTTTCTTGTCAAAACTTAATCCATTTCAATAACAAGCTGTCAAATGAAGTGACAAGGCTTATTTCACCTTTCTTGGTATGATATGTTCAAATGGAAACCAGCAAAAAATCTTACATAAGTTCACAGGTGAATTTCATACAAATGAGCAGGGATTGGCCTGAGAGAGGAGCTCTCTCCTAATGACTAACCACAGACATTGCTCACTTCTGCAATTTCAAATACAAAGAATGTAGAATCATTACCAGGAGGACAAGAGGGAAGGTAACTGCTAGCAAGGACTAAGGTGCAGCAACACGTATTGGGAAAACAATAGCTATGTGGTATGATTGTGTCTGTTCCATGTAAAACACACTAAACTCACCAGTCCCAAGACACCGAAGAGAAGCTAATTCTCTTGTTGAGAAGCTATTCWTTTCCACTTCTAGCAATCTATCTTCAGTTGCAATTCCATTTCCATTGCTTAAGATACCTTAATGCTTTCAAGTTCCCTCTTGAGATCCTAGAATTTTGCTTATTTGCTCTTCCTTTGACAGTACACTCAACAAGAAATTCACATTTTTGAATTGCTTACCTGTTGCTAGAACAAGTGCTGGCTGAATTACATCAATTGTTTCAGAACAGAATTTTTCAAAGTCAGGAGCTCGTTTGGGATCCTGAAATTTGCTGATATGAATATCTGACACCTGCAAAAGAAGAATGAAACACAGCCCCAAGCAGAGGGTTATTGCTATCCAGATTGTTCTGCAAAGCCAGGTATGTGTATGAATGCAACATAAGAGCAATCACAGCTATTGATATCAGTATAAGGGATACAGGGAGTGGATGACTAGAGGAGAACAAAAGCAGAAYAAGCAAATTATATTGCAAATCTAACCCTTAAAATCACATTTACATCAAGAAAATTTCCTTAAAATTAAGGGCATACAATAATATGAGGAAATACTATGCTACCCACAGTGTGTTGTGATGACTGCAAGTGGCCTGTTGCCTTTCAAATTCTGTGTTTCTGGTGCAACACAGTGATTTTGCTGCAAATGAGAATACAAAGTAGTTCTGCAAAGCAACAGGTTAAAGCTACCTAGAACTTGAAATATACTGATAATTTATTTTGTACCTGGTGTGACATTTCCAGAAGCTGTCTGGAAGGATTTTTAACATTCTATCCATGCATTTTAATGGATCTAATGAGTGTGTTTAGATCCCATTCCACATATCTTCAAGAAGGCAAAGATTGCCCCAGAAATGATGATATGACTTTTATGTAACTGTAAAAGATGCTGTTCATTTCTGAATCAGTCAAAGCCCTCACATCAGAAGAGCCATTTGGGGAGAATAAGAAAAGTAAGATTTTTCTATTTTTTATGTTGTGGCTTTTCAGTACCATACAAAAAAAATCTTGGGTGAATAGTGTCAATTCCACTTCCCATCCCACTTCAGTCAATCAATTAATTAATYGTCCTCCTCGATGTAAACAAATGGTATTTAGTACTCAAAAAACAGTAAGTGCATGCCCATGGCCATCTGACATTATCACTTGGAAAGAAAAGCATTAACTTTTACCGTGTAATAAGCCTTTTCTTGTAAAGCTTGTAGTTTTTAAAAAAATCCAGATAAAGTATCTTGGAGAAAAATTATTTACTTCTACTTATCCAGTCATCTGTACACAAAGAAAATATTACCCAAATACAGTTTTTAAATTCTGCTTAGGAAACTTCTCCATTTGGAATTACATGGAATTTTTGCCTAGATCAGAATTGTGTACTAAAGTAAGCAAGCACTTCTAGATATTATCTTCACTTTCATTGATGCTTTCAAACTAGTGTGAAGCAAAGAGCACAGCGAAACTACCTCGATACATCAAACCTCATTTAATCATTGACAAGGATACAACTTGTTTTTCTTCTTTTCAGCCTGTGGATTTGCAGTTAATTTATCTCAGCAATCAAACAGAGAAAATCAAAACTTCTACAGTTTTCATTCTTGAGAGAGAACARTCTTACAGGAAACCTTACTCCTCTTCTACCAGTAACTACAGCAAATGTAAATTTCTAACCTTACAGCAGAGTGGTTGGGAAGCCTAATTTCTTACCGTAATCTTCCTACTGTGCTTCCCCATACTATGATATGACTTTGAAAATTTAAAAAGGTTTAACTTGTCATTTCTAAGAGTCACAATGTCCTGGGACTTCCTGAGAGCTGGAACTAAGTTTCCATCATCACTAAAAGCCATGAAATATGAAGATCTCAGGAGTGGAGCTTCTTCTCTTTTTTTTTTTTAATTTAATTTTTTTAATTAACTTCAGATAATATCCCAATAAAAGGAAAGACAATGGGCAAGATGAAAATCTTGTAATACTTTTATTTAATTTCCAAAATGTAGGTGAAAGCGCACTTGCTGCTCTTTCCACTCCCTCTGACTGATGTGCATACTTGGCCTCTCTCATTGCATCATAAGCATTTACTTTTATTAAAATGGGTTGGAAGAGATTTAGGGGTGAGGACAAATCACCACCAACACTCCTTATCTAGCAAAGATGTGGTTCAGGACAGGCAGGCATTAACAATGGAGAATTACAAGGTTTAGAGCAAYAGTAGAATGAATCCAGCTGACAGAAGTAGGAGAAATAATTATAAGCTTGTCTAATATTGAACTAGAGTGTCTATTTGGCACTGGCTATGAAAGCAAATTCTGCTGTAATAAAGATGAACATACCATTAATAGCAGATTCAAGTACAAAGACTGTGATTTGATTCAGTTTAAGAAGAGAYAGTTCTGTGCATGGGAAGAAAAACAAGGCAGGAACTACTGGGGGCAGAAGTGACCATCTTGAGCTTTATCCAGTGACCCAGGCTAGACCTATGGAGTCACCAGGGAGCCTGAAGCCTGTTTCCCACAACATCATCAAGCACAGGGCTGGATTTGGTGCTTGATTAGTTTCCAAGTCAGGTCAATGATAAAGCAGCTACTAAAGGGCACGTCTGAAAGAGAACATAACTACTTGAAAGTAAAGCCGAGTCTCAAATTAGCTGTGCCTTGACCTATCCTTGGGAGAACTCCACTTGTGGTGACACAACTACAGAGAACATGGCRAGAGAAACATGGGCCTGTGCATGCTGCTTGTCAGTATAGCTCTGCAGCTGCTGTATGCTGCTCTGACTCTTCACAAGATAGCAACTCAAGATAGGGGCTTCACTTACATTAATTCAAGCATATCTCTCATCTTGAGATCTAATCTGTAGTAAAAATAAGCCTTGAGTCACTTAAGAAAAAAATTCTAAAAAAAAATGACATCACAATTGGAGAGAACKAAAGGACTAATAATATGCCAGCTCATTCACTAAGAGCACTGCCGGCAGCTAATACAGTCAGGAAAAGTGCTCTTGAGATTGAGAATAAACACAAAACAGTAAAAGCAGCTATTTGTTAKAAGGGAATGTACAGTAATCCCTGTTACATCTCACCCATAAATTAACTGCAAATATGTAAACACTTCTGTGGCTAGTCCTACACTAAGTGCTTCAGGAATGCTCTGGGGGAGAAGAGTCAGAAGATGCCACAGAAGCACTAAGGCATGACAATTTTCTTCCAAGAMTATGCCAGGTCAACTTGTATTTTATGTTTAACCTGGAAACAAAGCTGTGTACATTTAACCTTCTGAATAATGCTATACCTTCCATTGCTATAAATCAGTATAGCTATTTTCTCAGCTACACAACTTTTCTGAGTTTTTTGGATACAGAAAGGGACAGGCAGAGCCTGCATTTCTCACCGGGATATTGAATAATACTGCATCAGGTACTGATGCAATATATTGGGTAGCATAATAATCAGGTAATTTTTAATTACCCACTTCCACTACACACATCTGATAAAGAAACTTCTCTGTCCAACCATCCAGGAGCGACTCAGGCAGCCACAGTCACACCGCCTGAGCTGGGACCGAGGTCCCTTCACAGCTACACTCCCTACACTCACAGASAGACCAGGTYTCCTTACCAGTTCGACCCCARGTTTCCTATAGCAGGGTCTCACACGTCGGGATCCTTAAAATAATTTAATCTTCGTGCAACAACAAAATAACAGTTCGAGTTGGATGCCTCCGAGAAGTGGCCCCAAAGAGAATGCCCGGACTTTTATACCCTCATGGTCTAAGAGCAGGAAAGCCTGGGGCTCGTGGGCTCTTGCTGTCTCAGAGTGTCCGGTTCCCTGGCTGGGCCACAGGTCCCCCCGCGCCCGGTGTCCTTCACTGTGCAAAGGGTTGACAGCTCACGGCCGCCCGCCCCCCAGAGCTCCGCCTGCCCCTCGCACTGCAGCCGCACATCGAGTTGCCGGCACCGAACATATTTCTCAGCGCGACCTTTCGGGCAGCCTGGCACAACACCTGTAACCCGGGYTCGGCTGCGCGCCTCCGCCGTGCCCGCCGTGCCCGCGTTCGGCCGCCCCTGCCCGCCCGGCCCCGCTCACCTGCACGACCCACAGCAGTCTGTCGGCGGCGGCCCCTGGCGCGGGCTGCGGGGCCCAGCGGCGGCGCTGCCCCAGAGCTGGCGGCGCCCCCGCCGGCCCGTACCAGTCCAGCAGCAGCGCCACGGCCGCCGCCGCCAGCAGCCCCGCCGCCAGCCCCAGCATCCTGCGCCGCGCCGCCACCGTGCCCGCGCCGGGCGAGCCGTCCGCCGCCGCCCCCGGCACTTCCGCGTCCCCTCCCCGGCCGCCGGGCCGGCCCGCGCTCGGCCGCGGTTGGCTCGGGGGCCGATGCCGGCGGGAGCGGGGATGGGCGCTCCCCTTCTGCTGGCGGTTTGATCCGGGGGGGCCGGGGGAGCCCGGCTCTCCCCCCGCTGCCTGGGCCCTGAGCGTTCCCGCTTTCCCCTCCAGCTGCCTGAAATACCTAGGTTAAAATAAAACGAAACCCAGGCGGACGAAGAGATCACGTCTCATTCTGTTTACTAATAAAAAAGTAAACTTTCGCTTTTTCTCCTGACGGTATAATAATTCTACCTGATCGGAAATGTAGGCAATTCGCCTCTTTTGCTCCAGACAGAAACGCTTTTATGGTATTTTGAACTTTTTTTTTATTTATATATGTTCACACACCATTTTAAACCTTGCTATAGCAACTGCACAGTTTCCGAATTGGTAAGTTTTTCTTTGCTGTCAACTCAGTTTCCAAACTGCTGTCCACATTTACTGTTGAGATTTTTTTCTTACCATCTGAAGCAGAAGTTTGGATGAAAAAGCTTCTGTTGCTTCACATGACTGATATTTACTGCAGTATTCTTAAACAACTTCAGGTATTAGAAGTTTCTAATCCAATATTGTTTAATTGTAGTTATATTTTCTCATATAATTTGTCATAGGATAAAGATTTAATTTTTAGCATTGATAATGATTAGCTTTGTTTGATCAAAACCCCTATTTTTCAGTTCAGTTAGACTGTATTAATATATCACACCTCTTTTCAGATGTTCTTGATAATTCAGCTGCTCTTTTTGCAGGACTACATGTATATTTGCTTTAGTTTTTTTCAGCTGTCTTCCATCTTGCTTGTCTGCTCTTCCCCCCCAAAAAAACACCCTCAAGAACTGTTGCTAAATCAACAGCAATCAGCAGTCCTGGAAATCTTCAGGAGTAATCTTGAAAACTGGGGCTTGCTCACTTTATTCCTGAAGCTCTACCGTTTAATTTTAGCTCTAGCAAGGCTGCCAAGCATTTTGTCTGTATTAAAATTGATCTGAATTCCTGTTTCGTTCTTCTTTCCTCTATTACTGTAGTATCCATGGAGATCTTAGTCTTTCGTGCTATTTCAGTCTGGGCAGTGGTGCCAACTTGTTTTTCAAGAGGTTGCTAACACTTTCTTTGCTGTCTCTTAGGACATGTGGGTTCCAAATTTTTTTTTTAATAGTTTTGTTAAATAATTCTAACASTAAGTCTTGTTTAACTAAAGCAGTTGTTTACATTAGCATAACTTCTAGAAGTCCCACCATAAAGCAAGCCCACACTGATAGTTAGCTAAAAGATGACCCCATAAGCCTCTTGTCCTGCAAGCACAGGAGGCTGCAGGCAGCCCTCCTGGACTAGGTTTGTTGCTGTCTTGGAATTCTGCCTTGCTTCTCTTGCTCAACTACATTGGAAACTGGATTATACAATTGCTAGTGTTGATGCTAAAACAGGTGGAGGACTCCAGTAATTACAGTCTGAACTTGGTTRTTGTGGAAACAGCACTTCTGGTTGGCTGTGCTATCACAAAGGATTTGGTCTAGATCAGCAACACGGACCGACAGAACAAGATGAGGCTTTGAATTAATTGTTAACTGGCTCATGGCAAAAGTCACTTTGTGTTTTTTACACCTCATCCCTCTCTCAGTGATAATATCTACACAGTGATTTTAAGTGACAGATTTCAATAATGTAAACAAGTCTGCAAGACTTTTAAAAATGAAGATGAGTGGTAGCTATGACAGAGGAGCTACATTCAGATGTTCTGAAGATGTAGGAGAGGAACTTTGAGAGTGCCTGTGGCCTGATGCAATGAGAAAAATCATTGAATATACTTGGAAAGGTCACCTGTAAATTTTATCACATCCATTTTGATAACTGAAGAATATGGAAAAGCTTCTTGGAGGCTTGAAAAAGGAAGATTACAGTGGGAAGAGGCAGTCTTAAAGATATCAGGCATTTGATGTGGACCCCAAGATCCACTGCTATGGCTATTTGTCTATTTCCCTGCGCTTAGGAAGGCACAAACACAGGGAATTGCACAACTGGACTGCAATAATCTGGAAAACTTCCAGCAGTGCTCAGGCTGGGGCTTTCGCATATCAATCAAGTTCCTAAATGYCCTAATCTGCCAAAGCAGCCCAGGCTAAGTACCCAGAACAGTTATGATATGCTGTAGAAAGAACGTGTGGAGGAAAAACTTTGATCTTGRAGACAGGCATTTGCCTAAGGCTACTGTTGCCTCCTACACTCATACTAAGTTCATAAAATTTTGCTTTTGCTTAGCCCATACAGGAGACATATGGGAGCCACACGGAAGTGGTTTGACTCTGCACCWGTATATATGAAATTAGTTGTGCTGTTATCTTGCTAGCAATAGAATGAGGGGATATAGTCCCCTGCGCCTGGGAGGTTTACGTTGGACATTAGGAAGAAWACCTTCACAGAAACGGTGATTAAACATTGGAATGGGCTGCMAAGGGAGGTGGACRTCCCTAGACGCGGTTAAGGAAAGAGTGGACGTGACACCCAGTGCCATGGTCTGGATTATRTGGTGGTGTTCAATCGTGGACTCGACGATCTCAGAGGTCTTTTCCAACCTAATTGATTCTGTCACTCTGTAATGCAGGGCGCGAAGTGAACTACCACACGCTGCAGTTTAAGTGCCTGCAGAGGAGCTCCATCCACCTAACTCAGCAGGCCGGATAAACCCGAGCCCCTCTCGCCGTCCCCACAGC